AAGCCCTCAATAAATTTTTGGGAGCGGCGATCGGCATTGTACATCCAATGGCGTGACATAATCTGTATTACACGATAAGTTATGAAAACCTTGAACATAATTAAGTATTTTATTACACAACATAGATGACACACACACGGTTGATTAATTAACTAAGCCTGGCTACAACATAAGCAATCCAAACTATCACTAAACAAACTAAAACTACAATGCACTTCAGTAACATAATTATTTTGTGATCGTACGCAACTAAAACAGACAAATCATTCTTCTGTTGAATATCAATAAGCTTCTCCTATTTGGCTCATCCTCTCATCAGCAAAATTAATTCTGCGCACGTATATGTAATATAATCTTCCTCCCAGTATCAACCATCGCATCCATTGCCCTCCCACTGAAATTAAAGCCAAAAAATATTTAGTCAAAAATATTTAAGAAAAGCAGGTCAATTAGCCATAATAATCAAATGCGTAAGAAACTCACATCGCGATCCGGGCACTTGTAGAAAACACGACCCTTGTTGGGTCCCTATCTCTTGACTCGGTACTCCATCACAATCTTCCGCTACACTTGCCGCAGATAATGAGAGGGAGTTCGCCTCGATCGTTCCAAGAACCTAACGAGAGGCCGAGGATCCGCATACCGATTGTCATCTACTTTCTATACTTATTTTTGTAAACTCATCAGTAAATTTCACATTTTATAAAATAATATATTTAAACAAAACTAAAATTATTTATTTATCTAACTAAACCATGAAATATGTACTATGTATAATAGTAAAATACCAAACTATCAAGTGATTTTACTATTGTAAATCATCATGTGATTTTGAGCTAAAAATGACATAGAAATCACATAGCTCAAAAACATGTTTCAATAAATAACCATCCGTACTAGTTGACCTTGCTTACGTGATCATCTCGGCGAGCATTTCTCCTTTGGATTTGACACCGTGAAGTTGCCAAGGAAGAGCTTCGATTCTATGAGGAAGGGAACATGGTCTTCCACGACCGCTGCCGCTCTCCCTCGTAGAATCAAAGCTCCTCCTTGACGTCCGTTACCGCTCGGCAGAGAAAATGCTCGCCGAGATGATCACGGTCCGCAAGTTCAACTAGTACAGATTTTCTACAATTTTCTAACTATTTTCTAAGTTTTTTATTTCATGGAAAAATTAATTCTAAGATCACGTAAGCCGCCGGGGACGAGGATGGCGCGTGCTCTAGCGAGGACGAGCGAGGCGTGATTTTGATGAACTAATTTAACTTTTGTTTATCCAAACATATATGCAAATCATCATGTGATTTTGAACTAAAAATGACATATAAAATCATAATAAAGTCCAACATATAAAGTTACACATGCATCTACATCGCAAAATGAGATAAGCTACTGATAAAACATAAGAGGACTAAGTTTGTTACCTCCAAAATCGAAGAGCAACACCAATGGAGGAGGAGAGAGCAAGAACAACAGCAAGCTGAAGAACAGAGGCAGTGAGTTTGAATGGAATGGCTCGGGCTCGGGAGGAAAAAATGAGCCGGTGTATAGGCCGGCATAATTAGTCCCGGTTAGGTGGTCAAACCGGGATTAAAGATTAATATTTATTTCCGGGGTATCACCCAAACCGAGACTAAAACATTTAGTCCCGGCTGGTATTACCAACCGGGACTAAACCGGGACTAAAGATCCATGCCACGCGGACGACCGTTGGGCAGGGACCTTTAGTCCCGGTTGGTATTACGAACCAAAACTAAAGGGTCCTTTAGTCCCGACGACAAAAAATGCCGAGGCTAATACCAAATTGGGACATCGTTCTAAAGTCTGTTCTCTAGTAGTGTAAAGTGAGTGCCTGAGTAGGTGACTTGCAGAGGCTGCTATGATCTCAGCCTGCTTGACTGTTTGGGTTGTCTAGATAGAGCATGATACTTTTGCTATGGTCAATACTTTTGCTACCTTGTAGTACGTATTATTGAAAAAATCATTATGGTCTTGTTTGATGCGCATGTATTCATCTCAATCTATATATGTTGAAGTGGATTAGATTGGAATTAAATTAAATTCCATTTCATTCCACTCCAACACATATGGATTAAAGTGAATACACATGCATCCAAATAAAGCCTATATTTATGCAAGCATAGTATTACGCTGCTTTCACTCCGCTAATAAGTTCGTGCTTGAAGCCACATCTGCTACTATAGAGCACACCACGGGAAAGTCTCACATAGTTTTTTTTTCTTTGAGGCTTTTACATATATATGCAATTAAAAATTTGTAATTACGCACAAGACATTAAAAAAGTTGACCGCACACGAATACCATCGTTCTGAACTTATTTGCTCTCCAAGCCATTCCATCGGTGTTCTGTTCGTTTTTCACCATTACATGTGGGCCCGATCAGTATAAACGTCCAAAATAACCTTCTCTCGTCCTATCCTCTTGTTTCTTTAGTCCACACCGCTCGCTCTCGCGTCCGAGGCCGGCGGAGCTCGCACCTGCGCCCGACAGAGCTCATGCTCTCGCTGCTTGCGGCCGGTGAAACACGCTTCATGGAGCTTCGCACTTTCACCAGCTTCAGCGTCTGCGGCCGGCGAGCTCAAGGCCGAGCTCATGGCACGCCATCCCTCCGTCGGCCAAGGCGGTGTGTCCACACCGGCCTCGCGCTTTCGCGCTCGCGACCGCTTATCCCCTCCGACAATGGCAGCGTCGTCGTCAAGCCTCGCCTCGCTTTCGCGCTGGCGGGCAGCAAGGGCCTGCCCACGCCACGGCTTCCCCTCCCGCTTGCGGCCGGTGAGTTCCCAGCTCGCGAGCTTCGCCCATGTGCCGCAAAAGCTTCAAGGCTTCGAGCTCGCGACCGCCATCCCTCCGTCTGTTACTCGTGCTGTCATGGTAGTGCGCGTGCGTGCCACACACAGGTTGCCACAGACTCAGCGCCCGAAGCGTGCGGTGCGCCTCCCTGCTACCGCCACGCCCAAGAAGAAGGAGAGGCGGTGCTGCTGATGGTGGCCACTCTGGCCGCGGCCATCCTCAAAGTGGCCGTCGCCGTCGCCGTCGTCGCCGTGTTCGGGGGGCAGCTCCACTCCGACCACAGCGCCACCTCATCCAGAGCATAGCAGCAGCGAGCTTCATGACCACGTGACCGCCTCGGCGCTGGCTTGCTCATGCCTGCTGAGCTTAGCCGGCCATGCCAGCGGGCGCGGGGGAGAGCTTCGCCCCTGTCATGCAAGTAGCTCCGCTCCGGCCGGACGCACGAGAAGAGAGATCGAGTTTGAGAGAGAGAGAGAGGATAGGGATGAAAGGGGTATTATGGACGTTTTGACTGACTTGACCCACTTGTCAGGACTCCCAAACGGTGAAAAACGAACAGAACACCGACAGAAAGGCTTGGAGAGCAAATAAGTTTAGAATGATGGCACTCATGTGCGGTCAACTTTTTTAATGTCTTGTGCGTAATTACAAACTTTTTAATAGCATATATATAAAAGCCTTTTTTTTCTCTTGTTCCTGGCCTCATCGTCCTTGACATGATGACCTCGACAAAAGGATGATCGATGCTTGCTGATTGCAAGTTGCTATCAAGGTGGACCTAATTGATTAATTGCCTATCCGAATACGAATATGTGTGCTATTCGTGGCCAAAGCCTTCTACTCCTCATGGCGGAATCCAAGTTTATATACACTCCCTCTCTCCTAAAAAGGAACGGGAGTCTCACATTTCAAGGTCAGATTAGCGTAGATATAAAATTACATATTTGCCCCTTGTGTTTATTGGGTGTTCTTGAATGTTCTTCAGAAGTTTAGAATATTTTATACGCACGGATGGATAGGTTATGGCATGCAATGATTTTTTAATAAGTGAATCCTACTAGAAAAGTTGATCTTTTAACTTCACGGTTATATTCTTTTTAAGATACGGTTATATTCTTTTTAAGATAAGATTTAAATTCGAATTACATTCTTTATGGGACGGAGATAGTATCTATATTTATAGAAAAACGATTCCGCTTTTTAAGACCAAAGGAATACGCACCAGGTCTAAAGCAGAGTATAGCAGTTTATTCAAGAAAACGAAGAATGAAACAATATAGCTTGTTGGTTTCAACCGGCCCAAACCAGCCAACAACAATGTTTTTCTCTAAAAAACCAAAGACCAAAAAAAATTTCAAACCAAAGACCAAATTTAAAAACCAAATGAATAAACAGCCCATTAGCGACTGGACCATAATTGGATGTTTGGTTTTCTCCGGCAGTCAGCACTGGCGGCTCACACGCCGCTCATGCGTCTGTTAGCAGCGTTCATCATTGTACTCGCACTTTGTTAAAAAAAACCTGGCGTCAACTGCTCTTTTTTTTTTCAAAAAAAAGGGGAGAAACTTGGCGTCAACTTGATGATCATCGTTTGATCTGAGTTTCTGATCCAAAACAAAATCGTGCTTGAAATCACAGGTGTGGCTGTCATGTTGATATTACCTGAAAATTATAATCACGCACGATGATGATGAGCGCGGACTTGTTCAAATCAACGACGTCGGATGCACTTACCCAGGAGGATTTTATGAGCGTGTCTGCAAAGTTGCACATGGCATGTGTGTTGATGCAAACTAAACCTCGTACCCTCGAAAGTTCTAGTAATATGATTTTTTATGAGAAGAGTGGCTCCGTTTGGCAGGGCTTCTCCACCGGCTTCAGGAGCTGTTTGGAGTCGTTTTCTACCAAACAGGATAAAGTAAAATAGTTTCACTTGTGAAGCCCCTAAAAACATGTTCTTACAGTGATTTGGGGTGGGATGGAGCCAAAAAAAAAGTAGCTTCTCCCGGCTACTCCTTCAGACCCCTAAAAACATGCTCTCACAGGGAAGTCATTTTGCCAAACGGTTTAACAAAACCACTTCAGCTCCACCGATGAAACTGTTCGTGGAGCTGAAGCAAAAAAAAAATAGCTTCACTAGTGAAGCAAAGCCCTGCCAAACGACGCTTAATCATGCAGCCGTATTCAAGATGGAAGGGGCAGCATTCAATCCTTCTGCTGGAGTGGACTCGATTAGGAGCTCCATTGGATCCTGTAGTTCAGTTCAGGAGTACATCACGTTCATCTCTGGCGAAATTTCACAACGAGCAAAAGGTGACCCGGAGAAAAGGTGCGCCTCGCTAATGACAACAACTCCAGTGCTAGGACGGCGGCCGTCGGTCGCCGGAGGCGTGGAGGAGCTGAAGCTGAGTGAGCGAGCGCGGGCGGCACATCTTCTCAGCTGGCGGATGAAGATGGGATCCGAGATGGTGGCACGCCTGGCCCCAGGCCTTGCAGACGGACTTGAACCGCACCAGGGACTTGACAGGCAGCCGCACCAGGATCTCCTCAACGATGATCTCCGACAGCCTTGGAGGACTGCTCCACGCCGGCAGCACCAGCCGCGCGCCACACTTGAGCAGCACAGTGTTTGGGTGGCTCGATTGGAGAAGTTTGGGGAGGCGCCGAGGGAGGAAGCAAGGCTGGTGGCCGGGCAGCCGGATGGCGAACCTTGCGGCAGGATTAGCCTATCACGTCGCATGATGTTTGACGAAAGATAGGCAAAATCACACGTTGGGCGAATGGAGCATAGCAGGTGTGTAAACGAAACTTGAATACTCGATTATCAGGAGAGAAGAAGCAAACACCTAAAGTATTCCCCTCTATCTAAAAAATATAACTGTAAGATTTGTACAAGTTAACTAACTTAATTTTAGTCAAGAGTATTAACAATTATGTTATCTAACTAGGTTTACTATAAAAGTATTTTTTAATTAATTTAATGGTACTGGTATAAATGTTAGTATTTTTATATAACTTTTGACAAACTTCAGGTAGTCTGACTTTAGAAAAAAAAATGAGAATTGCACCTCTCTATGGACTGAGGGAGTGAAAAGTAACAATTGTGTATCGACCTTTTAACACTAAAGACACGTTCCTTCAATTGCCGCCTCCTCCTAGTCCCTACCTCTGCCGTCGCCGCCGTTACCTCCATAATCACCCCTGATCACCATGGTCCTCCTCCTCTTCCCCATGCAACGGCCTCATGCCCTCAACAAGGGCAAGAGGAGCGGGGACCTCCTCCGTCGTTAAGTCTAGGGTTAATTCAAACACTGCCATTGTAACTCTTCGAGTTTAGAAATATACCATTGCAATTCGTGATAATGTAAATATGCCATTGTAATTCCCGTGAAACATGATTCATACCATTAAGTAGGCTTTCAGGCGTTCGTATACGGCAACATGTTTAGTATGGCCCAGATGTTCTCCCCGTCCGATCATTTAGAAGACCTCCATACAAGACGTCGCATTGCTCGACAGATCGACTCCTTAAGGTGATGCGCTCACTGCCGGTCCAACCGACCAGATTTGTATGTTGCATTGGATTGCCTAGCTGACCCGTCTGAACAAAGCATATGCCATAAAAAGGTCACAGATAATTTGATAATAAGTTGAAAACTTCTGATAACTTGATAACAAGTTGAACACACTGAACAAAGCATATGCCATAAAAGGTCACAGATAAGTTGATAACAAGTTCACAGACTAGTGCCTGGACTTTAACTGACTACAAGTTCATAGGACTTTAACTGAATACAAAGTTCACATGACTTTAAATGGATACAAGTTCACAGGACTTTAACTGAACAAAGCATGGCCTGATTAATAAAATTCAAAAGCACGGCCTGATTTCTAGTTCAAAAGCACGGCCTGATTACAGGTTCACAATCACAGCCTGATTACACACAGCAATCATCAAAAGCACTCGACGTTAAGATTCAGGAATCAGTGACTTGAGCAGTGAGTTGGGAATTAAGGAACTATGACAAGCTCATGACAACTCTAGACTATGGTGCGGCAACAGCCTTCTGTTGCTTTTTCTTCACTAGAGTCTTCTTCCTTTTGGGACTCTTTTTCTTCTTTTGTGCTGCCTTCTTCTTCTTCACCTCTGACAGCCCAACAGTGTCATCATCTTGTTGCCGTTTCCTGCATAGTATAGTGGTTAGCACTAGGTTAAGTACAGAATGCACAAGAAATGCTTTGAGAATGAGTCACTAACCTCTTGTTCTGTGATCTGCCCCCAATTTCTTCATCGGAGTCAACCTCAACAAATTTGCAAGTCTTGGCAAAGTGACCGAAGTCACCACACCTTTTGCACTTCACCTTTTTTTTGTTCGCTTTCCCTTCAAGGCAGCCCCTAATTCTCTGTACTCTTGGTCTGCCTGGTGGTCTTCCTAGTAAGGGTGAAAATATTGTGAACCCAAGATCCACCATAGGCCACTGTGTTCTGTCTAGAAAAGACTCTACTCTTCCTTCATAAGCAGCCCTAAATCTTGGTACAGAATAATATTCATGCACATAGTCTTCTATTTTCATTCCCCTATTGGACAGTATCCAAGCTAATGCATGCTTGCAGGGCTTGCCTGTGAGCTGCCATTCTCTGCATGAACATGAATGATGTTGGAGATCAACTGTGTGTCTCCTCTGATTGTTCCAGTTGTCTAGAAGTGTCACTTCAGCCACATCTTCATCACTACTTGATACCTTAACCACTTTGAGATTATTGCTGATAGCATTCAACTCCTTCATGACATTAGGGAGTATACCATCACGCATTTCCCTAGCAATCTTCCTCCTCAAAAACCTCTTCTCCATGATGAGCTCTCTCAGGCCATCAACCAATTCGTGCAGCAGCAGTCCTTTCATGTGCCTGATCTGAGCATTAAAGCTCTCAGATACATTGTTGGTCAAGTAGTCACATTTACTCTTCTCTGAAAACCCACATCTGTACCACAGTCTGTTGTGATGCTGCTCTAGGAATTCTATGGCATCTGGTGCAACATCAAATATCTTCTACATGTGCCACTTGAACAGTCCCTCTGTGTAGCTTCTTGCTGGTGGATACAAATGATCAGTGAAGACATCTCCCTAATAGTGCTTCATAAAATTTGAATACAAGTGCCTCATGCATTCTCTGTACTCAGCTTGCGGGAACACTGCTCCCACTACACTTCCTAAACCTTTGCAAGCATCTGTACAGATCACTAGGCCTTCAGGTGATCCTATAGCTTTATGCAACTGCTCCATAAACCATTTCCAATTGTCCTCTGTCTTTGAGTCAAAAATGGCGTAAGCCAGATGATACAACTAGTTGTGCCCATCTACAGCAGTAGCTGAAGCCAACTGCCCAGTGTATTTACCATTTAAGCATGTGGCGTCTACCCCTACAAATGGTCTGCAGCCTGCCAAAAATCCATCTACACAAGGCTTTAAGGCTACAAAAATCCTTTTGAACCTCTTCTTCTTATTCAATTCTACCTCTATTTCTACAATGCTTTCTGGTGAACTAAGCTCCATTTGTGCTTTCCAGTTCACCAACAATCAGAAACTTTCCTCATATTTACCATGTATGTGCTGAAGAGCTAGCTTCATACCTGCCCATGCCTTAGAATACTTCAACTTGATTCCATAATCATCTTCCAGTTTGTCCCTAGCATCCTTGGCACCTTTGTTTAGATTTTTCTTGAGCCATTCTGTCAACCTGCTAGCACACCAGTCTTGTGTTGCCATTTTTCCTTCTCTCAGCTTTGTAGTAGGACAGTTATGCTCAGTAGGCAATACTTTAATCTGCAACAAAATTGAATACATGTTACAAAAGTGTACCAAAAACAGTTTACAATAGAAAAATAAGAATACACAGGTTGTACCTCTATTGTTTTGCCATCATAAATCCTTGACGCATGTATTCTCCATGGGCAGCCCTTAGCTTTGCACTTGGCAATGAACCTGGTCTTGTCAGTCTTCACATCAGCAAATTCAAATCCAGTGATCACAGCATAGTGCCTCACAGCTTTCCTGAATGCTATGATATCAGGAAACAAGGCACCTTTCACAATGTTGGGATTTTCTGGATCAAGAATGACATTTATCTCCTGAGGATCTGCATCATTAACTTCTGCCTCAAGAGGAACACCTCATTCAGCAGGAATATAATCAGAATTGTCATCAACTGGTTGTGTTGCAGTGGCATTTGTGGTTGGCTATGCAGGTGGTACCGAGATATAGATGTGTTCATCATCAACGCCCACGTACTCCTCTTCATTATCAAACATGTCTGGCTCCCTAGCAGGCTTAAAGTCTGGCTCCTTTGTTGTAGGTTCAGTAGGTTCTGGCATGTTTTTTGTGGGTCCAGGAGCCTCTATATTGTGTTTTTGGGTTCAGGGGCCTCTGGCTTTTGTGGTGGATTCACTTGGCTAGGTTGGTCATCATCAGGAGGAATAACACATAGAGGTTCTAGCTCAGCATAGTCATCAGCAGTAGATACTGAATTATCAAATACACCTAGCAAGACCTTGAAAGGTCCTAATGGCTAGAGGGGGGTGAATAGCCTAATAAAAATCTACAACAACACTTAACAAAATGTGTTAGACAATTTTGCGGCGAAGCGAGTGTTGCACTAGCCTACTAAAATGCAAGCCACCTACTACAATTCTATTTTGAATAGTGTATGTCCACACAATAGCTTTGACACTTAGCTAAATTAGTGTGCTCTCAAAGACTAACTAAAGAGCAACACTAATCAAACAAACAAGCTCTCACAACTAGCTACACTAAAAAGCCTGATAACTAGTTTACGGTAATGTAAGAGTGAGCAAGAGAGTTATACCGCCGTGTAGATGTATGAACCAATCAATCACAAGTGTGGATAACAATGAAGACCAATCACCTCGGAATCAATGATGAACACAATGATTTTTTACCGAGGTTCACTTGCTTGCCGGCAAGCTAGTCCTCGTTGTGGCGATTCACTCACTTGGAGGTTCACGCGCTAATTGGCTTCACACGCCAAACCCTCAATAGGGTGCCGCACAACCAACACAAGATGAGGATCACACAAGCCACAAGCAATTTACTAGAGTACCTTTTGGTGCTCCACCGGGGAAAGGTCAAGAACCCCTCACAATCACCACGATCGGAGTCGAAGACAATCACCTCCTCCACTCAACGATCCTTGCTGCTCCAAGCCGTCTAGGTGGCGGCAACCACCAAGAGTAACAAGTGAAATCCGTAGCGAAACACAATCACCAAGTGCGTCTAGATGCAATCACTCAAGCAATGCACTTGGATTCACTCCCAATCTCACTATGATGATGAATCAATGATCTAGATGAGTGGGAGGACTTTAGCTAGGCTCACAAGGTTGCTATGTCAATGAAAATGACCAAAGATGTGAGCCACAGCCGGCCATGGGGCTTAAATAGAAGCCCCCACGAAATAGAGCCGTTGTACCCCTTCACTAGGTACTCACTGCTCGACCGGACGCCCGTCCACTTGACCGACTCGGACCCAGCGTCCGGTCCACGATGGACGCCACGTGTCATCGGCTTCAAACACCGTTCGCCGATTCCAATGGCTATGACGCCGACCGGACGCTTCCGGTTAAAATCGACCGGACGCTGAACCTCGGCGTTCGATGTCGAGTACAAGAGGGTCAAAACCTGGTTTCCTCGATCGACGCGTCCGGTCCACCTCGACCGGACACAGCCCAGTCGTCGGTGGTAAACCCTAGCCATCAGATCGATCAATAACGCGACCGGACGTGGCGCGTCGGCGTCGAGAGCTTCGGATTCAAAGGTCCGGTCATCGGACCGACGCCACAGCATCACCTGTTTCTCACTTCTATCTTCTCCACCTTGCTCCAATGTGCCAACCACAAGAATTTGCATCCGGCGCCAATAGAAAATAGGCATTCCATTTTCCAAAAGCGTCGAATCCGCCGATCTCAACCTCAAAAACACCACCTCCTTTGTAAAATGTGCCAACACCACCAAGTGTATCACCTTGTGCACAAGTGTTAGCATATTTTCACAAACATTTTCAAGGGTGTTAGCACTCCACTAGATCCTAAATGCATATGCAATGAGTTAGAGCATCTAGTGGCACTTTGATAACCGCATTTCGATACGAGTTTCACCCCCCTTAATAGTACGGCTATCAATCCTAAATGTGATCACACTCTCTAAGTGTCTTGATCACTAAAACAAAATAGCTCTTACAAATTATACCTTTGCCTTGAGCTTTTTGTTTTTCTCTTTCTTCTTTCCAAGTCGAAGCACTTGATCATCACCATGCCATCATCTTTATCATGCTATGATCTTCATTTGCTTCACCACTTGGAGTGTGCTACCTATCTCATGATCACTTGATAAACTAGGTTAGCACTTAGGGTTTCATCAATTCACCAAAACCAAACTAGAGCTTTCAGACCTGGCAACACATCTCAGCCTTAGCCTTATACATAGAAAACATATCTAGCAACTGTCTGTCATTCACTAATCTGACATCTTGTCCCAAATTCTTGTCAAAGAACCACAATCTGCCACACTGGCGAGATGACCATTGCACCTCTTTGGCTAAAACATTCATCAACAAGTCTATGGTTAAAGCACCTATGTCCACCTCCCACTTAATCAGAAATCCCTTTAAGCCTTGAACTTTAATCTCTAGCATGAACAACTCAGGCCTAGCACGAAGAATGGAAATGTAAAGGGGAAATCCCACAGCAAAAATGGGTCCATCCCCAACAGTGGCCGATCAATAGAAAAATTTGAAAGTTAGTAGAAAATGAAAATGTATAAAAAATCTTTATAACGAGGGAACAATAGATAATTTTGAAATCATTAGATCAACTTTAACTTATGTAAATAATGTAAAAATCATGTCAAACAAAAAGCAAGCAGTCTAAACATAGTACACTTTGCCAGTCATACTACTTGATTTATGTACAAAATGTAGAGAATCAGTTCAGATTCTGAACTTTTCCTATTATGTATATTAGCTTTGCAAACAGGTTAACTCACATTAAGGAGAACCACAAGTTTTAGAAAAATGGCAGAGAGGGTCACAGGGAAGATGATCCAGCAAAGGGCCTAGCACACATCGTCAATGAAATCAAAGGGAAACATGAGCTAAAGTATGACACCATTATATTGGATAAGTTGTTCTTATTCATTTATTACAGATGACAAAAAAAATTCGAAAGTCATCTCTCTGACATGTTGTGTCAAACAACTCAGGTATGTGTATGTATGGCATGCCATTACTGGATACTGGGGTGGAGTCAGGCCAAGTGTAGCTGGAATGGAGCACTACGAATCAAAGATGCAGCAGCCTGTGTCATCACCAGGGGTTCAGAAAAACGAGCCCTGCGATGCTTTGGACAGCATAACGACCAATGGACTGGGCCTTGTGAACCCTGAGAAAGTATTCAGTTTCTACAATGAACTCCACTCGTATCTTGCATCTGCTGGGATCGATGGGGTCAAGGTAGACGTGCAGAACATCCTTGAGACGCTGGGTGCTGGCCATGGGGGAAGGGTACTGCTAGCTAGAAAGTACCAGCAGGCTCTAGAAGCTTCCGTCGCTAGGAACTTCCCTGACAATGGCATCATATATGCATGAGCCACAACACTGACAACCTATACAGGTAAATAGCTTATGCTGAAATATCTTGAAAGCTTTGTTTTTTTAGCAAAATATCTTGAAAGCTTTCTTTGGTAAATCAAAGATGTTTATAAAAATCATGTCAAACAAAAAGCAATGAGTCATAAAAAATGTTTATTGCAGAAAGATTATAAACACAATATCTCTTCAAGTCTACAACTAACATTTTTAAATGGTGTAAATCAAAGCTTAAAACATCAGCTACTAGCTGGCTCTCTCATCTCGCAAAGCGTAGATGCTGCCCAATAGCCCAGCAGCGGTACCTCGCACGGCCCTCGTCTTCTTCGTATGTTCATGTACTTGCAAATACAGAGATTGGTAGATCCGCCCCTGATCCCCAACTACTCTAGTCATATCGAGGGAAGATTTTGCAAGAGTTAAGAGATTACCTGGCCTTGTTGCCAGCCATGGCCGACGAACTGCTCCCACACGGCTCGCCGGTTGCGGGGAAGTCTATCATCTTGCTCAAGCCACGACCATGGACTCCAATCGATGTGCAGACTTGGGGAATCAAATCTCCTTCACCACCACCACCTGCTCCAGGCACGAATCGCCGCCTGCACAGGTTGCACAGCCTCCGTCGAGCCTGCACAGCCTGCGCTGCCGCCGCCGTCGAGCCGACTCGCTTGCGCCGCCGCCGACTCTGGTTGCTGGGTTAGGGTTCGGGGATGGGGAGAGAAGAGACGAGAGAAAGACCGAGAAAGAAAGCAAAGCGAGCCGCGAGCGACCTTGAGTGCTCATGTAAGTCGGATGAGGCAAGGGCAATACGGGCCATACGAAAAATGTTTCCGTATATGTACGCCTGCAAGGTGGGCCACAGGTCGTTGCAAACGTACTTAATGGCATGAATCACGTTTCACGGGAATTACAATGGCATATTTACAATATCACGAATTGCAATGGTATATTTCTAAACTCGAAGAGTTACAATGGCAGCATTCGAATTAACCCAGTCTAATATATAACTCTTTAGAGTTCTAGATTAAATTGAATAAAGCCTGTTCATGGGATGACAACTAATATCATCTTCATTGATTGCTCATTGGATCTTATTTATCATAGAGGTCTCTGCCTCTCTAGTGTACATCCAATCCGGTGGTCTTCAAGTTGCTTATGTTTTTTTTGCTGGGTCGATGCGACTGGGGGATAATCGAGTTTCATGTTCGCATTTACGTGTTACTGGCTCGTTGGATTCCGATCTCACGATGGTTGGGCAGGTATCCTGACTTCCAATGGTGCTGGTACTGAGCTGGATTGATCATCTTTGACGATGAGATAGTCGGTGTTCTCTCAACATGTCAGACATGTCCTGGAAAGTTCTCGTGCCGTTGGATCAAGCGGTGTTTCCAAATTTAGGTGCCAGCCATTATGGATAATCCTGTTGGCGGTGTTATTGAGTTCCAACGGGCTGAAATAAGATAATTGTCAACATGATTTAAAGATGAAGATTGTTATTACTGGACTTATCGTATTTTTTTAGTGTCCAGAGTTTCACATTTAAATACGATGTGATTATGCTACTTATCAATAGAATCCTTTTCCGTTAAAAAACACCTATGAGAGTAGCCAAAAGAATCGGAAATCAGAAGCGAGCGCGTAGAACATCCCTGAATCAGAAACATTTTCGTTTTCGCCCATCCATTCTGGGCCGTATACACGGTCACGGCAACCCGTACGCCACGAAAGGTATGCGCTGCCTTCCCCGCCACGCCTCCTACCCGAGCCGACCGAGGACGACCAGCCACCTCGACCAATGGCAACACCGTGCCGCCAGCCCTGCTTACCCTACCCCACCCCTGATCTCTATCGCTAACCCTCCGCACCCCCCAGCAGCACCGTGACGCGGCCACTCACGCAACCCTACCTGCCTCCCCGTTCTGCCCCTCGCCCCGCCCATGGCGACGCCCGCCGCCGCCGCGCCGGCCCCACCGAACCCTAACCCCGTCCCCGACGACCCGCCGCTGCAGCACCAGCAGGAGGACGAGGAAGAGGCGCCGGAGCCGGAGACGGTGCCGACGTCCCTTACCACTTCAATCGACCCCACCCCCTCTGGCGGCGAGGAGAGCGAGAGCGATGACTCCTCGTCCGTCTCGTCGGCTCCCTCCTCCGCTCCCGCCCCCGCCCCCGCCCCCGTGGCCGCGGCCGCGGCGCCCTCCCCCGCTGCGAAGGACCTTCTCCACATCTCCTTCAACCAGGACTACGGCTGCTTCGCGGCGGGCACCAAGTCGGGCTTCCGCATCTACAACTGCGACCCCTTCCGCGAGATCTTCCGCCGGGACCTCGCCGCCGTGGGCGACGGCGCTACCGGCGCCGGGGGAGGGGGTATCGGCGTCGTCGAGATGCTGTTCCGCTGCAACATACTCGCGCTCGTCGGCGGCGGCGATAACCCGCACTACCCGCCCAACAAGGTCATGATCTGGGACGACCACCAGAGCCGCTGCATCGGGGAGCTCTCCTTCCGCTCCCCCGTCCGGGGCGTCCGCCTCCGGCGCGACCGCATCATAGTGGTCCTCGAGTACAAAATCTTCGTCTACAACTTTGCGGACCTTAAGCTCGTGCACCAGATCGAGACGGCGCCCAACCCCAAGGGCCTCTGCGCCGTGTCGCAGCAGCCTGGGTCTATAGTGCTTGTTTGCCCCGGTGCCCAGAAGGGGCAGATTAGGGTGGAACACTATGGGGCGAGGAAGACCAAGTTTATCAATGCACACACTTCCCGTGTCGCGTGCTTCGCGCTGTCGCAGGATGGGAGGCTCATTGCAACTGCTAGCACCAAGGGAACGCTTGTTAGAATCTACAATGCAGCTGAAGGCAATCTCCTGCAGGAAGTAAGCTTTCTGTCACGCACTCGTAGTTGTATTGTGTTGTACTTCTGTTAGGTGACGTTAGTACGTTACAACTGATAAAAACTGATTTTGTCGAGTAAATAGGGGAAAACATGTCTTTAAGCAGCTGCTGAATGGGAGCTTAGAATAGTCGTATGCCGCAATCAAATGTGTTACTTTTTGATAAGTATCGTATAGTGCCAGGCTGGCAGCTCACAGGATTGTTTTCTTACTGATCATTGAGTAGTAACCGCAGTCTTCTACGCTAGTTTGAGAACCTCTGAGCAGCTGCTGGAAGGGAAACTATAGTAGTTCTATGCGACCACATGTGCTTTTTTGCTAGCATTGTATAGCACCAGCGCACATGGTTTCCTTTTGAAGTAGTGTGATTAAATAGCAACTTCCTACTTTCTAGTATAAGTGGTTTTAGATGTTGACTGTAGGCTTTTAGGCTAGCTCAGAGATCTGTGGGGTATTAATAGAAACAGGACATAGCCTTTTCTGATCTTGACCAAAAAAAATCAAGCAATCACAGTTTCATTGCTGTCGCGTGCCTTTGTTCATTTGTAAATTGAAGCTATTTAGGAGTGTGTAACAGCTTGCATACTGTTAACTTTACAATGAAACTCAACAAGAGCCCGTGAAAATATGAGTTTATGGTTATTTGAAATTGATAAACGTCTTGAGCGTTTTAGCGCACTGGCTTCTCCATTTTGATTATTTATAACCCGAATCTATGCCTCACAAAATTATTGCTCTGTAACAACAGTTACGCTACAAAATTTCTGACTTTGTGTTACAAGTATTTCTTCTTGATGCTAGAAAAGTTCGGAAGGATTGCAGTTGCCTTTATAACCTATCAAAATTTGGTAGTAGGTTCAAATGTTTTCAGCTGTTCCTTTTTTTACTAGTTTTGGTTCCTGTAAAAGTAAATGAACGCAGCAAGGTGGATTTTCATCCAAACAAATTGGAAATTTCAACTTCATGTTTCAAACTTTGACCTGAAATTATACATTTTTTTTGCTTGAAGGTCATTTTTTCAATTCAAATCTCACGAAGTTTCTATTTGAAAACCACACTATTGTCACCGTATTTTGAAGAAGACCTAGGTGATTTCACCTCCCCAAATCATACTACGATAGCAATGTTGGCAGTGAGACTGGTAGCAAAGACCATGGCATGGGCGTAATTGAGGAATGAGGATCCCAGTGAGGTAATCATGGTTATTAAGGCGGGAAGGCGAGGCGAGGCGACCCACCGCCTTCCAGATGACTAGGTGCTCAAGGCGTGCGGCGAGGCGATGCCATACACATGGCCTAACCTATAGTGGAGAAGAATAAACTTACCTTGTTGCTGCCAATTTTGGAGCCCATGTAGCAAGCATAAACATAGCCTAACCTATAGTGGAGAAGCATAAACACATGCACACAAAGTACATCACTTATGCCTACACATAACAGATAGCAGTTGCACCAAGCACAAGCAGAGCAGTTCATATCTAAGCACAAGCAGCAGAGGCACAGAGTAGAGGGAGGAGGCACAAATCAGGGGGCCGAATTGGCGGAGCAGAGAGTGGAGGTGTGAATCAAGGAGGCTAATCGTCGGAGCAGAGGGAGTCGTCGCAGATTTGGTGGAGTAGAAGGGGAGGGAGTGGCTGGAAGGAGGTGCTGCCGGCGAGGACTCCAGGTGCTTCCCTCCCACCTGCTGCTTCTTTCCTCCGCCCTCTCTTGATTGACGCTAGATGGCTGGGTCATGGCCCCATGGGAGGTGTAACTCCGATTTCCCATGCGCGTAAACTCTCGTTGTCTCCCCGCGTCTGTTTCCCACGCGTGCACATCTGCTCCTTCCGTTTCCTGCCTGCGTGCCCTTCTCAGGTCGCGTTGCCCACACCCTCGATTTCACTCGTGTGCGGCGTCTGCCTGGGGCAGGGCACCAAAAAGATGCCCAATGTGGCAGGTAGGGCAGGATTTGTGTTGATGATTCTGGCAAAGTGATAATTTGTTAGTGTGCAGGGGAAGCACAAAGCTGTGTCTGTAGCATGGTGAGGATGAGGTGTTTTTTTGTTGAAGAGAACTGTATTGTGGCATCTGGGGCTGTTTCGCAATGGGTTGAACTATTTTAGAAAAAAAAGTCATGCATGCAAGCTCTTGGATGACTACTGCAGAACTGTCCCATTCTCAACGCTCATGAGGGGCACCCTTAGTGATACTTACAATAGAGGAGTGACCTGACTTCTACCTGTTTTTGTAATATATCTAGATTTGAACAAAAATTATAAACTTTTACTGTGTGGTGCTTCTGAGTTCTGATTGTGACTGATCTTGACCAAGTTTCCTGCTTATGGATCTCTATGCATAGCTATTACCAACCTTTGTTGCTCATTGATATATTCGTTCTTTTGGGTTTGCTTTCCCCCCCAAGCTTTTGACAAATGTATTACGTGAGGAAGTCTTAACATTACAGTTTCTTACTTTTTACCTTTTTACTGAGGATATGGTTACTAATTGTGTCTGCTTTCTTCAGGTAAGGAGAGGTGCTGATAGAGCAGAAATATATAGCTTGGCTTTCTCGAATAATTTGCAGTATTTGGCTGTCTCCAGCGATAAAGGAACAATACATGTGTTCAATTTAAAGATAAATGTGGGATCGACTGCAAATGATAAGCCTATGCCTGCTCCAGATCCTGAAGTTCCCCATATAAGCCCCCCTCTTTCGTTCATTAAAGGTAAGTTCTGTATCTATCCATTCGAACGGCTTGAGTCAGGGTACCCAATGTGTGGGATAAGTTCCCCTTTTGGTTTACTGTGAATGTCATTTATAGGCTTTAAAAAATATGATTCAAAATATACAAGGTTATTATTAGTTGCGTTTTATCTTAAATGTTTTCCTAAATTTATACATTGCACTTCGGGAGCTAGTTTGTTGGACAATAAACCTTAAGGTCTAGTATAGTATATGTTACATTTTCCATTTTAATAAATTCTAAATCGTTACAAGAATGCAGATCATTTTACTGGATTTCTTATTTGGATTTCATCGTGTCCAGTATCGTTCATATAATCTTGCTGGAAGTATAGAATCCAACACTCTGCATCTGCTCTGATCTTACTCCTTTCCTCCCCCCCTCTTCAAAATAAGATGTATGCTTCATGCGGGTTTCTGTTTTTGATGGCATGATGCTTTAGCATGCTACCAGGGAGTATATATGCTAGTTACACGGAATGAGACCATCCAGAGTTGAGAGCAGCTCCTTGCTGTGTGAGATCGCCTTTTTTTTTATTAGGCCGTATACTTACTCGGTTATTTTCCATCAATGGCAGGTGTGTTGCCGAAATATTTCCACTCTGAGTGGTCAGTAGCTCAATTCAGGCTCCATGAGGGTGAGCAGTATATTGTTGCATTTGGACATGAGAAGAATACTGTGGCAGTTGTTGGTATGGATGGAAGGTGAGAACATGGAATCGAACAGTCACTCTCTACAAGTATAAGCGTGGTAGCTGGAGCTATATATCTGAATCTAAATATTTGTTTTTTTTCAATGGTTTTGCAGCTTCTACAGATGCCAATTTGACCCAGTTAACGGAGGAGAAATGCTGCAGCTGGAGTGCTACAATTTCCTAAAACCAACGGATCAACCGTAGCAACATAATCATCATCAATGTATTCATGGGTGCCCCCTGTACCAAGGATTGTACAGTATCTTTGTGTGCCCTCGTTGACCCGAGGGCTAAGCAAGTGATAATAATATTTTTATTTGTAAATATATCTCTGATGTATGTTCTGCGGAAGGGCTAAAACACCCATTTGCAGATGAACGTAATAGAATGCATCGTTATTTATTTATGAATAAAATACATAAAATAGCCTAGCAATGTTTCTACAATGTTATCTTAGTGAATTGTTCACTCATTTCGTGAATAGGGCTCTGTTCGCTTGAACTTATCAGCTAGCTATAATATTTTTCTCTCATAACAAAATAGCTTTAGCCAGCTTATGTCAAATAGAGGTTAGATTAGCTAGCATTCTACATTATGGGTATGTTCGTTTGGAGGAATTGTGGAGGAATTTGAATGGTTTGGAGGAATGTTGGAGGAATTTGTGAGAAAAAACACTGTTCCGGATGAAAAAAAAAGCGGATCAAACCGGTTTTGGGTTTAAGGGCACGTGAACAGCAGCCTGATTTTTTTTTAATATTCTGCTCGTACGACAACTATTATGCCCCTGTGTTTGGTTGATTGATTGTGTTGTGTGCTGTATGATCCTTTAGGGGTCCTTATGTTTGATTGATTGTGTTGCGTGCTGTATAATCCTTTTTTAGGTAAATTATTGTTTCGTCTCATTTGATGATTAGTTAGAATGCCCAGTTGCTTGTCCCTGCAGTTGAATGAGTCGTCCGCCAGATAAGGGCACGTACAACGCATGTTGTGACGCGGTCTGCACGCACAGAGGGTCTCCAACGGTAAGAACGCAAAAATGAGACATATTTCATGATTTGAGTCACGTACATGGTTCCTTCTCCAATAGCGAAGACTCCCGTCCGGTGCCACTTGCTCCTCCGTCTTCGTCTTCCCCGCGGTCGGTCACCGAGCTGCGAGATCCGACACGAAGAACAGCGATGCCTCCACTGAAGAACAGCGATACTGCAAAGAACGAACAGAAAAGACAACGCACGAACCGAAGAACAAACAGAGAATGATAGATACAAAATCAACCAAAAATCGGTCAAATCATAATGATTCGTTCCCAAACTTTGCACTGGCCATCACAAGGAAGCTGTCAAGCTACTCCTAGAAGATCATGGCTCAAACCAACCTCAATCTCTGGGGAAAACAGATCATGGCCAAGAACACAAAAAAGTCCCCAAAAACGAAATTCAAAATTCAAGCCGAATTCGTGAGGGATTTGGAGGGGGATCATATCAAAGATGCTCCCTAAGGTCCTAGCAACATTTCCCCTCAACCAATTCCATGAGATTCACGAAGAACAAAAAAATCCCCAAAAAGGGCTCCGAAAATAGGAAAAAGAAAAACGTACGGGAATCAAAGATTTAGCACGAAATTAGACAACAAGCACAGCTAAATCACAAAGGCATCATCTTTACAAGATGAGGACTAGCCTCCTCCCTTCATCCACCCACTAAAAATGAAGAAATCAAGAGAAAAGAGCTCGGAGGTGGGCGACGGGAGCGAGGGCGCTCCCAGATCCGGCGAGGCAGCCAAGCCGGCGGCTCCGGAGGTGCTCCCACGGCGCCGCCCGACTCCCTCCCCGCCTCGCCGTCGTCATCAGGCCCCCCTCGCCTGCGAGCTCCCTCCCCTGCGCGGTCGCGCCGGACTCCCGCTCCCGCCTTGCCTCCTTCACGCTGTCGCGCCGTAGAGATATGGGTCGAAAAGAGAGAATGACGTTTTTTTTGCGTTTTCTTTGAGCTAGTAGCCAAAATACGTTATGTGGATGGGTCACCCGTTGAAGCCGGTATTTGATAGATAAAACATCGTGCGAGACTTATTTTTGGGTTTGAGCAGCTATGTTGGAGTCCGTCTAAACAATGCAAATTTGCCTGATTAAATGAAGAAAGAGAACCTTGCCGTCGTTCGGTGAGGCGCCAGCTGTGGCTTGTGCTCCGACGTCATATTCTCGTTGTACAGATCCAGTGTGCGCACGCTATGGCCAATGCCATGACAAGCTAAAAATCCACCCATGGCCAGCTAATAATCTTCCATTGCACACCTGCTGGTTGCAGTGCCATCCCATCAATCAAATCATCCTCGAATTGAAATGCTTGTGTACTCTCAAATAAAAATAAATGCTCTTGTTCGTACTTGATCAACAAACTTTTTATCCGGTCACAAAATCTAAAATAGAATCTCTCAAACTTAATTTTTGCTTCAGGAGCAGAAAAGTTTATATTATATAGATAAATATATTACTATATTATTTATTTTGATGGTTTCTAAAATATTGTATTATGTTTATATGTTTATCTTATTGATGCTTGATTTATTTTGTATTAAGAAGCAACACAATAATATCCATGAATTATATTCATGTTTGATCATGGTTATATACTTATATGTAAATATGTAAGTATTAAAAAGTTTGTAGACGCCTAAATAAATAACCTATTGTATAAGTTGTTTATTAAGTTGTCTATTATATATAAATATATTAATATATCATTTATATTCATGGTTTTTAAAAAATATTGCAACCATGATCATCTTATTTATGTCTGATCTTTTTATCAATGAGCAACACAATGATATACATGAATCATATTTATACTTAATCATGGCTACATAAAGATATTAAAGAATTAATAGATAGCAAAACAGACAGCCTATGCTATGCCCTGTCTGTTTAGCTGTGTACGATGAAATTAGCGCAGCTAGTAATAATAATAATAATAATAATAATAATAATAATAATAATAATAATAATAATAATAATAATAATAATAATAATAATAATATATGTTGTCAACGATGCGTATCACCCCAGAACCCCACTCTCACAGAACCAGCCAAACCCAGATACTTTTTGCGCGCTCTAAAATAAGTGCGCTTTGCCACCTGTTGCATCGCGTACGCCACGCCGTCGCTTTAGCCGTGAAATAACTTTGACTATAACTTTTTACTATAAAATATAGTCAATATATACTTTTTTGAAACTACATTTCAAAATGAATATATTTACATTACTTTCATATTTTCAAACTCAACCCAAAAAAAATTATTTGTAGTCCAAATTTAAAATATTTAACTTAATACAACCTCAGAACGACCTGGTTACCGAAGGGAGTACGTCAACAACTCCCTGACTCAGAACACTGTGCCCACAACAGTGCACCCACCAGCACCGTCCGATTGTTGTCAATGACTGCGCTGTCACCCCAGAAGCGTCCACGAGTCAAGCCTTCTCGAACCAGCCAAACCCAGCCCCCGCGTCCGCCCTGCGCGCCGCGTCCACCGCCGCCGCCGCGCCGCCCCTGTGCTCCGCCACCTGGTGCCCTGCCGACGAGTGTCGAGGCGCTCGCCAGCCCGCGGCCGCCGCCTTCTGTTTCTTTCGCGCATCCGTCCTGCGCGCCTGTTTCAGCCACCACCGCCGCCGCGTCGCCCCTGCGCTCCGCCACCTGTTGCATCGCGTACGCCACGCCGTCGCTGGTAGCCGTGAGGCCGCCGGCTTTGCCAGCCGCGCCCCGCCCCTTGTATTCTTTGCCCCACTTGTAGTAGGGGGTTACACACAGAGACTCTCTCTCTCCGGCTTCGTCGCGCAGGCCCCCAGCGAGGCCCCTCCGGTGTCTGCCTCCCGGAGTTCCGTCACGTCCGCCCTCCTCTTCGAGATCGCCAAGCCGTCACTGGTAGCCGTGACGCCAGCGGCGCCGTGAGCCCGCCCCCCATCCTCTCCGGCTCCGTCTTGCGTATGCAGTTATCCGATTTACAGCACCTGATATACTGCACAAAGTTCTTTGCCAATCATAGATCTTCTGATTGAGCATGCTAATTTCCTCATTCATTTGACATATCCAGGTACGGAAGTTGCTAACGATGATCACGTCCACTCCATTTGCTGCCATATGGTTTCTACATGGCCTCAAAGAGCTGCCCTGGTAATTTCGGTCCCTCGCAATCTATTTTCCCCTGAAGAATCCATTTTAATGTGTTTGGGGTATCTCCATGAGTCAGTTTACAACAGTTAGTTTTTTATTTTGTGATTTCTTAATTGTATACAGGTGCATGTATTTGTATTCCACAATTAAATAGCCAACAATTCTGTATGAATTCTGATGTATATAAATTATTGCACCACATGTGCAGTTACAGAATACCCGCTGCTGCTGCAACCCTTCCCTGTGTTGTAATGGCTAAAAATATCTTTGTTGCTGCCCAGGTGCTTCATTCTGACTACATGTGCTACACAGATAATTTGAGATGGTTTTGTGGTTCCTATTAACATAATGGGTGAATTCTGTTTCTTTCCCAGTTACATACCCTCATTGATATGAACGAATTTTCGTCCTCTGTTTCCTCTATTGTGCCACATCTTCTTTTCGTAGCCATAAAAATAATCGTGAGTTCTTGCCGGCCAATCGTTTCAGCGTAAGAAAATGGTGCTTTTGTTCGCTTACATCATTTTAAAATGCTCAGTGAGGATATACTCTTCAGATGTTACCTGGTCCAGATTATAATAGCTAAAGTAAGCAGTGTGCTTTACCGTTCTACATTTGATTAAATGTACTTATATATGTTTGGATTCTCTTATGAGTCTGTTTTTTCCCTAATATAAAAATTAGGACCAAGTAATAAGTGATGCCTTTATGGCTACCTCAACAAGGCTACATGTATTCAACCAAGTCACACCTCAAAATTGAAAGTTTCCCATGTATATAATGTTCTGTTTATTTTCTTGGTATTATTTCATCAGTTCTTTTGGTTCATTTTCCTTTTGGGTTCGGTCAACAATTACGCTTTTAAATAACAAGTGAAAATTTCGCGACAAAGCCAAAGAACACTTTCCAAGTATAGTGGACATTGCCTATTGCATGATTAGTTCCCCAGTAGTGATGTATTGGTACTGCTCATGGTTTCTATTTGGAATGGACATGTATGCCTGCATTTTAGTACCTGTTCTGCTGCTGCGTAATTTCATGCTGCCTGTTGCTTGATTGGTTCGGACAGTCGTGTATTAATACCGTGAATGGTTTATATTTGCAGTGCACACCTGCTGATGTAGTGCCTCTGTTTGTCACTTTGTCAGTGGTTGTGTCTATTCTGATTGGTGTTTCAATTCTAAGTTCCAGTACTTTTCAATACCTGTGTTCACAGTGATTCTCTATAGCTCCCGATCTGGTATGTACAACTTCGTATTTTTGTGTGACCCAAATGTTGTTTCCAACATGTGTAAATTACTATTGCAAAAGGTATGAATTTTGGACAACATATGGTCCCATTTTTCAACAACAACAACATAGCCTTTCAGTCCCAAGAAAGTTGGGGTAGGCTAGAGTTGAAACCCACCAAGAGCCCCAAGTCACAGTTCAGCCACTTCAATAGCTGCTTTCCAAGTACTCCTATTCAAATATATATCTCTAGGTATATCCTAAGCTTTCAAATCTCTTTTTATTGCCTCCCCTATGTCAATTTCGGTTTTCCTCTGTCTCTCCTCATATTATTAGCTTGGTTTAGGACTCCACAATGCACTGGTGCCTCTGAAGGTCTCCTTTGGACATGGCCAAACCACCTCAACCGATGTTGGACAAGCTTTTTTTTTTTCAATTGGTGCTACATCTAGGTGATCACGTATATCATCGTTCCGAACTCGGTCCATTCTTGTGTGACCGTAAATCCATCGCAACATACGTATTTCTGCAACACTCAGTTGTTGAACATGTCGAATCTTTGTAGGTCAACATTCTGCTCCATACAACATAGCCGGTCTAATCGCTGTTCTATATAACTTGCCTTTTAGCTTTTGTGGTATCCTCTTGTCATAGGTGCCGAATTCTTTTGGGTTTCATCTCCATTAAAGTGGCTAAGTTTTTACATTGACTCACCGCGCCTAACACAACCCTCCTCCTTTATCGGGGCTTGGGACCTGTTGTGCTAGGACACCAAAGACACCCCACCATAGGCGGAGTTATATGGTCCCATTTTTACACTTTTATATTATAATACAGGCTACAAGAAATTTATGCAGCTGTCGCCCATCCAGGTAAGGTCTCATGAACCGTTTCAATCAATATCGAATTTATTTGAGTACATACCGGTCAATCAATTGTTCTTATAGGAGCTTCTGTAAGTTTCAGATTTCCTTGCCGATCTGTGCATCTATCCGATTTACAGAAGGAAGTTACAACCAGTTGGACTAGGGGAATGTGCATGTATGTGGTTGCGTCTATTCTGATTTGTGCTTCAATTCTGAGGTTCACTTCCATTACTTTTCCACATGTGTCTACAGTGATTTCCTAAAACTTTCCATTTGGTGTCTGCAGCTTCCTATTTTTTTCGCAAACCAAATGTTCTTCCCAACATGTGTACAGTGCTATTGCAGATGCTAGGAATTTTGGCCATCATATGGTCCCATTCCTACAATTTTATGTTGTAATACAGGCTATAACAAATTTATGCAGCTGTTGCCCATCCAGGTAAGGTCTCATGAGGCGTTTCAGTCAATGTTTTTAAATTTCCTTGCCTATCCATCTAAGCTTCTGATGATCTATCCATCCAACCAATTCGACTATGGGAATGTGCACAGATGTGATTGCGTCTATTCTGCTTGGTGCCTCGATTTTTGAGGTTCACTTGGATTACTTTTTCACATGTGTCTACAGTGATTTCATATACCTTTCAGTATTGTTTGTGCAGCTTCATATTTTTCTGCAATCTAAATGTTCTTCCCCACATGTGTACATTAATATTGCATATGCTACGAATTTTTGCCACCATATGGTCCCATTCTTACAATTTTTTTATTGCAATACGGGCTACCACAAATTTATTCAGCCTTAGATTTTCTTCAACAGTGATCTGATCTACGCTTTTGTTTTTCTTTTGTAGGACCATTCCACAATATTGCATTTACACGTTGTGTGACGCTGTTATATGAATGGCTTGACAAAAAAAAAAGGCAACTGCACTTTAGCCTCATTATTTCTTTGTATTGCGCATGCCTCACTGACAAGTCCCATTGTACACATATGTAATTAACTGCCACAATTTTGGAGTTCACAATTTTAGCATTTACATAATGCTTTGTGTATATTAGGTTATTTTCGACTGCATATTTTGACTTCTACGTAACTTCATGTATTTCTCCCGGTCATCAGTTCCTATTCTCGCTCCTTATGAAAGATGAACCAGCACGTACTAAAAAAAGAAGGAAGGAACACGAGCTATGTATGATGAGCTTGGCAGGGACCAAGCAAAAAGATCCATTTGCACCTCGACCGGAGAGACGTTTCAACGACCAGAAACGATGAATCAGGCCCCTGCTGCAGGCTGCAAGGATCCATCCGTGCCCATGTGCGAATTCAACCGAAGCATCTGCGGCATCCACATCCGGCTTCCCAAGGCCATGTTTAGTTCCCACATTTTCCGTTTGCCTACATGTGAAGATTTCCCATCGAAACTTATTCAACAAATGTTGACGAAATCAAAAACATCTTTGGTTGTCTTTTATGGCATCGTTTTGAGCCAATTAGTCCGATCGGATAATTATTACCAAATCCGAAAATGTTACGATCCCAGTGTCGCTACAGTGCCTCCGGCGGCGCCGAATCTGGTTCCGGCCCAAGTCCGAACGACCCCGATCCAATCCGGTTCCTCGGGTCGGCCCGCCGGTCGGGGCCACACGCGGCTCGTCGCTTCTCTACACGTCCGCCATTTTTTCCCTCCCGACACGACGCGTCCGTCACCCATGATTCCATGCCCGTAACGCCTTGTACCTACCGATCTACTCCTATGTACTCCAGCCGCAGGTCATAATCGTTCATTGAGTTAAAAAAAAGGAAAAAGAAAATCCCATCTCTATTTTCGAGGTGAGAACAGGAATTTGCGCCGTTTTATGCGTTTAGATCAAAAAAAAATTTTGCGCCGTTTAATTAATTGTACAATTATGACTTAATTAGGTTCAAAAGTTTCGTGCTGGTGGCGCAATTAAAAAATTTTTGGCAACTGAACGGGGTTATTAGGGTGGTGCTGGTGGCGCAATTAAAATATGGCGGCTGCCACTGTCAATGAAAATATCTCGCCACCCGTCTTCTTCATCAACTGCTATAAAGGACACGGGGCTACGTGAGGTCAAGGAAACTCCTACCCCTGTCCATTGCAGTGTGGACGCGTTGAGGGAGACTGACCGACCGGCGACCGGCTTGGGAAGAAAAGAAACAAGCAGCAGCAAAGGAAGGAAGGCAAGCAGCAGGAGGAGATGGCGCCGCTGAAGCTGTACGGGATGCCGCTGTCGCCCAACGTGGTGCGCGTGGCCACCGTGCTCAACGAGAAGGGCCTCGACTTCGAAATCATCCCCGTCGACCTCACCACCGGCGCCCACAAGCAGCCCGACTTCCTCGCCCTCAACGTGCGTCTCTCCACACTTTTTTTTTCTCCCCTTCCGGCTACTACTACTTTGCTTTGCTGTTCCTCTCGCTCATCATCGTGCTTGTTGTTCCAAACAGCCCTTCGGCCAGATCCCGGCTCTCGTCGACGGAGACGAAGTCCTCTACGGTAAACTCTCCATTCACCCCTCTGTTCTTACTGACATAATTCCTCGTAGCCTGTTGATTATAATTTTGAATTGAATAACGAGATCCAGATCTAGGAACAGTATCCCTGTTTTTTTTTTAATAACGAGATCCAGATCTAGGATCCAGACCTTATTCCAGTTGACCATTTCGACTTCGTCTGTCTGAAAACAAAAAAATATCTCCGGATGTCTGATTGCAGAGTCCCGTGCCATCAACCGGTACATCGCGACCAAGTACGCGTCGTCGGGCGCGGCCCTGCTCCCGGCGACGCCGTCGGCGAAGCTGGAGGTGTGGCTGGAGGTGGAGTCGCACCACTTCTACCCGAACGCGTCGCCGCTGGTGTTCCAGCTCGTCTTCAGGCCGATCTTTGGCGGGGCCCCGGACCCGGTGGTGGTGGACAAGCACGCGCACGAGCTCGCCAAGGTGCTCGACGTCTACGAGGCGCACCTCGCGCAGAACAAGTACCTCGCCGGGGACCAGTTCACGCTCGCCGACGCCAACCACGCGTCCTACCTGCTCTACCTCACCAAGACCCCCAAGGCCGGGCTCGTGAACGACCGCCCCCATGTGAAGGCCTGGTGGGAGGACATCGCCGCCCGCCCCGCGTTCCAGAAGACCGCCGCCGCCCTCCCCTTGCCCCCGCCGCCCTCCGCTTGAGTTTACCTTGCGCTGGGTCGCCGGTCGCGGACGCGTCCAAGTTTGAATAAAAAGGCCGCCTCTTGCCTGTTGCTGCGCCATTGTGTGAATCAAATAAATACTGTAGTTTTCATGTGTGTTCATTCACTGCTTGCTTGGTTGTGTGAAGACTGAAGAGCACGGTGGCTTCCTTTGTTGCCTTCTCGGTAAATTTGATTTTTTTTTTATTTGAAGCTTGGATTGGATGAACGCGTTTTCTTGCCTAATCCCTTTTGCCCTGAGCGACGTGATTGTTGATTGAACCAAAAAGAAGAGAAAACGAAAAGTGAACTGCGTTGGCCAATGTGATCGGGCCACATCGCCGGGCCCGTTGCGAGTACTCACCTGTTGGGCTGTAGTCAGTGGCGTATGGCGATCAAGCCCATGAAGTCGTTATCGTAGGCCCAGGGTCCAACTGCTCCAGGAAGGAAAATGTCCACATTACCTCCCTCAATTTTTGTGAAAGTCCATTTTTTCTTCCTAGATTCTAAAACCGGACAAAACACCTCTCTCAGCTTTTAAAACTGTTTATCTTACCTCTTTGACCCTGTTATAAGCAGTTTTGTAGACGGTTTTGTCTTTTTTTTTTATTTAGGTTGAATCTTAAAAAAATCATAGTAAATCACAGAAAAATCATAAAATGGAACATCCAATTTTGTTGGACTTGACTCCACATGAGTAGTTGTACATAGTGAACATATAATATGATATGCTTTAGTACAAAGTTTTTGTCGTGGCTTTAAATATATGTTTTTCTGTAATTAATTGGAATAATTCATAGCTGCAGTTTCTATGGTCTAATTGTGATGAAAATTTTATGGTGGGCTAATTATTGTATGACTGAACTGTAGTAAAAATTTCATACTCATTGAATTATGTATAGCTTAGTTATAGATTTATTTATATTTAACAAGCATAAACTTAAATAAAATATATAACTAAGTTATACATGATCTAATGAGTATAAAATTTTTACTACAGTTTAAGCATAAAATAATTAGCCCACCATAAAAATTTCAATACAATTGGACCATAGAAACTGCAGCTATGAATTATTCTATTTAATTACAGAAAAACATAGATCTAATGCTACAACAAAAACTTTGTATTAAAGCATATCATATTATATGTTCACTGTGTAGATCTACTCATGTGGAGTCCGACAAAATTAGATTTTTTATTTTATGATTTTTCTGTGATTTACTATGATTTTTTAAAGATTCAGCCGAAATAAATAAAAAAGAAAAAGATAAAACCGCCTTTAAAACCGCTTGTAACAGAGCCAGGGAGGTAAGATGAACGGTTTTAAAAATTGAGGGGGGTGTTTTGCCTGGTTTTGAAGTTTAGGGATAAAAAGTAAACTTTTGTGAAAGTTGATGGAGATAATATGGACTTTTACCGCACTCCATGCCGGCCCGCCAGCCGCGAGATGCGAGCCCACAACTAGCATTGGCCTCGTAATCAGCCTGCGACTCCCCAGCCCCAATTCTCGTGAATACTCCTGCGCCTTGGTTTGAGCGGCAGTGTTTTCGAGAAACTTTCCCCGGCGTGCCTGGGATTCCTGTGTGCCCACTGAATCTTCAGTGTGAGATCTCTCACTATCTCCCCAAGCTAACCAGCTCCTCATTGCACTTAGTCCCAACGCAATTCGGCTGGTTGAAGGGCAAATATTGGTTTTGCTTCTCGGCCTTGGTTGCGACTTCGGGATTTGGGAGTCGCCGAGTCTAACTCGGGACTGCAGCAATCTGTAAGGGAAAGGGATAGTGACCTCGATGTTTTGCTAGTATATTCTATGTTAAATCTGCTTACAGAATGCTTGTTCATAATAGGAATCAAATAAAAGATTGTCTCGATGGCAATGTAGAGAGAGCTCGGACACTGAATGAGCTAAAAGGAGATAGAAATTATTCTGGAAGGTCAAGGTACCATCAAAAATTCATATTTTTGGTTGGAGATTAGCCCATAATTCTTTAACAATTGGTGAAGTTCTTAAAGAAAGGTCAACGAAGTGAACGAAGTGGTTGCAAATTATGTGGTGCTATTATTGACTCGTGGCGTCATGCCTTTTCTATTGTACAATACAATGTCAAGATGTGTTTGGGCTCTAGTAGATGAGGATCTCACTGAACATATTGGTGCAACTGAAATCGACAATCCAAAGATATGGTTGTTTTTTATGCAGGAAACATTATAATCCGTTCTTTTCAAATTGGTTTTTTTTATAAGCCATACAAAATTTTTCTCTCACAACAAATCAAATCAAATAGAAGAAAAATCGCCATTGTTTTTTGATAAGCCATAGCTTATAAGCCAAATACAATATGGTTTTTTTTTATGGCAAAACATTATCTGCAAAAGAATTTCAGAAATTTCTAATCATATGTTGGGAAATCTGTGGGGCCTGGAGAAAGGCGTTACATGAGGATATATTCCAAAGCCCATTATCAACATTCAGCTTTATCACAAAATCATCTTGATGATCTCAACTAGCTGGATTGACTGAGGACAATGAAACAACCAAGTTAACAAGAATCAAGCAACCGGCTTCCAAATGGATACCTCCGCCTGAAGCTTTCTTCAAGTTTAATGTTGATGGCGCGGTGGCGCGATCTGGAGATAAAGGGATTGTTGGAGTGGTGTGTCGGAATAATGCAGGGAATTACGTTGCTGCAAGTGCTATGGTCATTGATGGTTTAACTGATCCGTCATCTTTGGAAGCTCTGGCTTGTAATGAAGCAACTTCCTTGGCCATGGGGCATGGGTGTGCGCAAGTGTGTAATAGCTTCAGATTGCTTGGAAGTGATTATGAATCTTCAGAAGCAAAATTTGTGTGCTTATTCCTCTATCTTGAAGGAAATTAAAGCCATGAGCACTTTGTTTCAGAAAGTCATTTTTATGCACGAAGGTAGACAATCAAATCGTGAGGCATGCTATTGCTAAAAGCGTTTGTAAATTGGCACCAGAGAGATATGTATGGCTTCTTGGGCATCCAGAAACTTTGCACGTACCTAAAACCATTATGAATTAATAAGAGTCTACCTTCCTCTAAAAAAAGCCCCAATTCTCAGCTTTCCAAACCAGGCTGGTGACAGCGCACCAACAAACGATGTAGTTCCTTGTACTATATTTGACCTCCCTCGACCACAGCCTCTTCGAAACACAAATACTGACAGTCTACACTTGAAATTAACTAATACTTTACAAATGACAATCTTATAGCTAGTTTATTTAGTACTCCTCTTTCCAAGCTATAGTTCAAAATTATAAGACGTTTGGGTGTTTTCCTAGATGCATTGTCTAAGTACATAGGAAAACCTATGATTCTAGAAATACAAAAAGTCTCATAATTTGGAACGGAAAGAGTAGGTGATTTCACGTGACTTGAAAAGAGACCCCAAAAAAGTCCGGAAGGAATAGGTGATTTCACATGACTATAGACACCACATGTTAGGTTGTGGCAACTAGCATTTGTCACATTGATCTATGACGATGTGAGCGAGAGGAAGATCGCAGAAGAATTCAATGAGTGTACTAACATAAGAAGAAGAGGAGAGACCGGGCCGCGGGGGAAGATGATGGATGTCGCTATTTCTCAATGCCCCAGCGGAACCACTATGTCCTTGTCCGACGTGTGATTTCCACACCTCCCCTCTACGTCCTCGTCCGACGTGTGATCTCCACACCGCCCTTGAAGGAGTCCTCTAGTGCAATCCTCGTGCTCGCCGATGCTGACATAGTGTCATGGTGATCATGGACACCATCGTCCCCGAACAAAGCAAGGTGAGTTAGATGCATTCCATGTGCTTGTCGTTGGACTGAGCAATGGATATCGACCCAACTTATCGTTGTCGTTGGAGTATGCTAGAGGGAAAAATGAAAACGACAAAGAGAGTCTGTTGGACCCGACCGTTTTGTAGCCTCAGATGCTAGAGAACTTGCATATATAGTTGCATTATTATGTGCTGATCGATCTTGGCAGGAGAAGATTGATGAATGTGTACACTATATTGTCAAGGGAAAATTGAGAAACATGAACACACAGCATCAACAAAGACAAGGAAATGAAAAATTGTTCTCATGGGTGACCAAGACCACGGGCGCGCACCCGACGCTCGCGGAGCTCTTCGAGTGAGGGATTGCCTTCGTTGAGGGCAAGGTTTGCTGCAAGAGCCGCGATGCCGACAAGACCATCTCCTACAAGATCACAAGTTCAAGGAGCTGTTCGGCTTCGTCATCTGCAGCGTGGAGGCCATGCATGATCACGCGCCGCCGGAGTGGATGTACCCGGCAGCTGCCGGACTGCGACAAGTGCGGGTAGAAGAACAGCCTACACCTCTTGATCGTGGCCGAGGACGAATGGAGGATCAACCGGATGTTTTTGTTGCTCGGCCAAACGCTAGGGGCTCTGCATGCGCTAGAGCAATTGAAGCACTTCTGTGTTCGCACCAGGCAGCACCGCACTGGCGCCAAGGATAAAATGGATTTCTCTTGAACAGATGAGAGGTTGTTGGTGTTGTTCTAACGAACCTTCGTCCACACCTCTAGCTCGAGTAGATCGGATTGAACTCGAAATCAAACCTCCTGTGTCCTTCACCTTCATGCTCCGTGACTCCTCTCCCACGCCCAGATCTAGAATTCTTGATTAGATAATGACTATGGGCGGCGGACGTGAGTTGTTGTCCCTCTCTGACGACCTGCTCGCTGCCATCTTCATCCTATCCTAACCCTCACTTGACTTGGATTTTTACTATGCATCACAACCATCGTGGCCAACGATATACCCTACCCGTGAAAGATCACCACAGTCCTAGTGAAAGATCTATCCATTTGTCATTGCTTTTATGTTTCTTTTGTATTTCAAACTAAATGTTTCTTTCCCGTTTCTTCTTTTGATCACTATATTCCTGTTTTTTTGCAGTTGAGTATATCTCAAATGCCTATTGTCAATGCGAATAAATTATAGGGTTGAATTGCTTGGGGAT